AATGGATCAATACAGGAAAGTTTTTCAATCAAAGTTGTGACAACGAATTTTAAAAGTCTATCTTCTCTCGAAATGTCGACTTTTTATCGTTCGTTGAAAAAGATTTGAGCCTCCCCTAAATTCAAAACGTTCCGCCGCCTATGGGCGAATCACAGTGCTGTCGGCCTATTTTCCATGCGTGGAGAGTTTTGTCGGATTCCTAGTAATGTTCTTTTTTAATATGGCAACGTGAGTGCGAGTGGCAATAAATAGTTGTACCACGCCCACACCCATACACACACGCCCTTATAAACGCTGGTCCCATCGGATCGGCACTCCTTCGTAATTCCCTACGATGAGACATATACTGTAGTAAAATCTATGAATTATATTAAACATCACTTGAAAAGTCTAACTCATCAACAGTATCAATCGAAAACAAAAAGATCTAAATTGTTAATTTGTCGATCAATATCAACATTTATCATCTGACAAAACCAAAGCTGCGAGAATATTCACATAATCTCTGTGCCGTTCAAGCCTATGGAATATTGCTATGGGAACACATAAACTCAACAAAAGTTTTTAAAAATGTGCACAAGCATACTCAACAAAGTGTATACTTAAGTTTTAAGTGCAAGAATAGAATGACTAGATATTTATTCTCTTCAAAATTAACGGGTTTGCCAGATTAAATTGCGCTAAATATTTTTTCTCCTTTCGTTTACTTTCTGTTCACGAAAAATATATATGTTTATATATCAAAAGATAGAGAATTTTCAGGTCTACAACATGATATGTTTATTTCAAAAAAGATAGTTTCCTTCATTTTGTAACATCTGATAAATTCGGTTTGTCCAACTAGCCGCACTGCAACGTACAACTACCACTGGAATCCTTTTTGCACCTTGCTTAATTTCATTAATTAATGTTTGTTTGTCAACAGCATGATTCCAGTTCATATGCTGGCAAAATTCGCTCCACACACAATAGTCAAGAGGGTTAAGATCTGGATTATTGGGTGGCCACCGATTCTTACTCAGAAAATCAAAAAAACGTTTCTTGCACCACAGTTAAGTATTTTTCGCAGTATGAGGTTTTGCCCCATCTTGCTGGAAAATGAATTCATTGCCTAACATTTGTGTACCATCCTTTAATGCAACAGGCAATATATCAGCAATATATCGATCACTGTCAATCGTCCCGTTCTCAATAATCACTGGCCGTGTTATTCCTTGAGAGCAGACTTCTACCCAAACCATGACACCAGCTGGGAACTTTGCTTTGTGATGTACAGCACCTTTCTCATCGGCTTCATTACGTGTAGCAGCATAAATTTTTTCATTTTGTCTATTATATATTCCACCAAAAATCAATACGTTTTTCGTCAGAAAATAAAATTTGTTTTGTCATGGATTTACCAATATTTTTTCGAGCCCATAACCTGAAAGATTTTCTTTTAATCTTATACTTTTCAGTAAACTTAGGTACCACCCACTTTACATAAGCTTTATAACCCAAGTCGTCTTTAATTATAGGACGAATAGTACTACGTGATACATTCAGTTTTTTGCTAGGCTATGTGCTGAGATTAATTTCTTGTTTGATAGTCGATGTTTGACCTTTTGAATTAAATCCTTTGAACGAATCAACCTTGGACAACCTGATGGATCTTGTAATGCGATTGCACCGGTAACTTTAAGTAATTTTAACCCGTAAAAAATTGTTCGTCTTGAAATCAAACCACGTAAGCTTCTGTGAATTTCATTCCCACTGCAGCCGTCGTTGTACAATCGCAGTGCCAGCTCTCGGATATCTTTACTCTTCATTTGAAATTTTTTTGATAATGAACTGTTTTTATCTCAAAAATGTATTCATTTGTAGACCTTAAAATTCTCTATCTATTGCTATATAAATGAGTATTTTTCATAACTATATGGTACTCGAAAAAAGCAAAAGTATTTAGTGCAATTTAATCTGGTCCACTCGTTAGAATGAAATCATGGTGACGTTATTGTTGATGGGTTTGATTTTTAGAACAATAGCAAAGAAAAAGAGACTCCTTTTTTCTTTTTATTTGGTTTAAATATAATTGTTGAATTTGTGCGCAATGCTATTGAGCAATGAATGAAAATTGGTTGTTGCACAATCTTTCAAAATATTAATTGTATCGTGATATATTTGTTTCAGCTTCAGCTCGTTCACTAAATCAATTATTTCGTAAGAAAAGTCCACTTGTATTAGAAAGAAAAGAACAAAGGAAACAACTGAATTTTAACGTGAACTTGTTCCACTTGATTATACAGAAATAAATTCAATGTCATATCTTCAAGGTACTGAAATAGTTCAAGCTAGTATCAGTGATCATGATCAACAAACAATTAATGAAAACGAAGAACAAGATGATCAAAGTGAAGATGACGAACAGATTTAATTGCAAGAAGCAGACAAACAGATATACTTAAATGTGTTAGATAAATTAGGCACGCAAGAAGCTATTAAATCAATATTGCTTTCGTCTTTCCGTTTTTATTCATTCTTTAAATCAGAGTACCAAGTCTACATAACGAATATTAAAAATGCATTTTTCTCCTATTCGCA